ACTGCGCCATCAATCAATTAATTGAGTTCGAAATATTGCAATTAATTGCCCCCACAATCAATTATTCGGTAGGCCTGAGTATAAGAATAACAGCCTTCAGAATTTAACTTTTCTGTTCAAGTTTGCTTGACAACATCATTTACAAGACCACGAATATGATTTTTCTACAATAAAATATTATAGTTTAAATTTTTCTTAATAGCATATAAATAATTAAAAATCGTACTTCATTGCTTATCCAAGACAGAACTGGTACAAATAATTTTCTATTATCAGATGAACCAGAAATTGGCATGTCTTCACTATCAGACATTTCCGGAGATGTTGTTTCAAGAGAAAATAATTTCTCAACTTCAATTTTAGAGTGATTTAATTGACTTTCAAAAATTTGGTTTAAGGCAGTTAAATAGTTAGACAATTTCTAAAAAAAATTATTTAACAATGCAATACATATAATAATAATGCATAAATAATTATAATTGTACAGTATAGATAATATATGCATATTATATTTACTGTATTATATTATTTACATTGTTATGAGCATTGATCATTTAAAGTTTTTGTAGCTAGAGTAGTCTTTTGCTCTTTTTTTAATATCTTAAAATAAGCTTCAGCAATTTTAATAATAGTCATTTTGTTTTATTTTTCATTAGTTTTTATAAAATAATTTGAAATATGAGATATTAATAAAAATTTTCAAATAATATAATTAAAAGTAGATACATGTGTTTTAAACTAGATATCAAATTTTTAATAAAAAGGTCAATATAATTTTAAGTAATTCTTTTGTTTTTTTTTTTATTTTTAGAGCCAAGCTCAAAGTTATACATATAATTACAATCAGGTAGTTGAGATTCAGAATTGTCAAATCTATTAAGTAATGCATCTTGTCATAAATTTTTGTGGTAAGTACAGGATTTTCTAAAGTAATAGTATGCAGAGAAATGCTTGTCATATTTGTTGTATTTGAAATATTAATTTTATAATTCTGAATATGGGATAATATACGTTTGCAGTATCTTGAAGTACTAAAGTTGAAGTTGATAAAGTTTTAATGTAGTTGTTGCATCTATCAATATATCTTTAAGACATTGTATCTTGATTCTATGTTCATTACTAATATGCTACATAGTAGTTATGATCTTATTTTAATTTTGTTTATAAATATCAAGTCAACGTTTTAAGGAATCAATAGAATTTTTTGTTGTTTCAAGTTGAATTTTAATATCAGAAGAATTTAAAATAGTTTTCACTTCATTTACAGTTTGAATTAAATTAGTAATATTTGTCAAAAGAGTATTGACCATTAAAAAAAATAATTTTAGTAAGATTAAAAAAGACAAAAAACAAGTATACATAAACAATTATTATTTAAGACTAACATAATAATCTAATATCAAAATTTTTATCAGTAATATTTATTAATTAATTTTTTATATATAAAAAAGATATGTATAGCGTAATATAAATACTTACTATTATATTGAAAATTTTTGATTTAATAGTATAATGACAATTTATTTTTTTTTTATTTCTAGTTAATTTGATTCTATTGCTCTTAACAAATTAACTAATAATTCTCTAAATTGGTAATATAGTTGCAGATCCTCTTTCAATGAATCGGTCTTCTTATAATTCTGCATAATAACTTCTATCAGCATTTGTAGATAATATATTTTTGAACATACTATCTTAGGATTTAATTCAAAAGTAACTTTGTTTTTGTAGATCTTTTTTATATCAGTTAACTATAAAAAGATAATGGCTAGTTGGTGTTCTCGAACTTGGTAAAGATATTTGATATTCAAAAAAAAATTTAATTGTTCCTGGCTAATTAACCTTTTCATTTTCTAGCTGCTATTGTGCAAATATATGTGAACTTAAATCTGAGCAGGAAAAAAAAGATCTATATACTTCATCACCAAGTTTGAAAGTAGTCACTCAGTGAGCTGTTGAAGATACAAGAATTAATTGTTTCAATTTTGGTAATTGATTTTTATTGTAAAAGTCATAATTTGGATAATTGTCTGAATAATATTGAACAAAGAATCTAAAAATTTTAACTGATAAAGTAATCTCACGAAATGACCCAATATAATATCCAAAAAATTGCTTTAAGCCAGTTACAATATGATTGATTAGACTATTAGACATTGTATAAAAATCTAATACTTTTTGAATTGTAAAGTCATAGTGTCCCAAAGTTCCAGTTTTTTTAATATTATTTTGGACAATTAAATCTAAAGATGATATAAAATCTTGAGGCAAATAATGATAAGCTTTAGTTTTGATTTGCTGTATATAAATTTAATGGTTAAAATTTTCGAGTACTTCTAGTTCCATATTGTGATTTGAGTTGGGAAATGAACCAAGTTCACTAAAAAATGAAAATAAATATAAAATAGTTTAGTTATTATGATAATATTAAATTATTTAAAGCAATAAAATAATACATGTCCATTGTAACATTCATAAGTGAAGCACCAGAATGAATACTATGGTCTATAATCGACCATATATTCTTGTAAATATTTGTGTAAATGCATATTAGATGTACAAAAGTTTTTACTATAAATTTATTCAGCATATTGTAAGAATACTATTATAGCAATATGATCTGTTTCAATTTCAGCTTTAGTTATGATTCTTTGACTCTATATTGATATTGCAGTAACAAATACTTGCCAACACTTCTGATTATTTTCATCGAGATATTGATGCAAAACATATATAGAATAAACCAAGATCTATATTTTCTATTGATCAGCTGTGAGTACATCAAATTCTGATATAATTTTAAAGTTTATATGCCCCATATCAGTTGGCAAAGGAGTTGCATCAATTTGATTCTGAATTTCGCGCAATTGTTTAATACCAAGCTTTGAAGAATCATTATTTATTTATACATATTGTACTATATATTTACTTGTGTCTAAGAATATATTGTGCATAGGATCAATTATAGTAAATCTTGATATATGGTAACTCTAAAAGTCATGTCTACCGAATTCCATGTTGCTGAAATAATTTTTTTGTTTTGTTGAATCACTAACTTTATATTATAATACTATTCATCAATGTTCAATATTAGTTAATGGCAGATTTTCTTGAATATAATTAGAATAATCAAGTTTAGAAATTCAAAAAAAACAGGAAAAAAACTAATGCATTTACTACATGCATACCTCAAAGAATATGAAGCTAGTCCTGTAACCTTATAAATAACAACAAATAATTAAAATTAAGCTAGTTAATTACAATGTATATACTTATAATTAATTAGAAAACCTATTATAAATTACAAATATTATTATAAAATATACTTTATGTGTAGCCAGTATGTTATATGCAATTTGAATCAATGTACAATAAAACATATGCCCAATTAGATATTAAGTAGTTTTGAATAGTTGCCTACTTCATAGTTGCTTAAGTTCATTAACTATTGGCTGGAGATAATTTTGTAATTGACTTGTATTTGGTTTCTTTAGACCAGATATAATGCCAACAATAATAAGATTTTCACTTCGATATCTTATATGTCTCAGAAAATTAAGTATTATTATATATATTGGCGCACAACTTCTTTTAACTCAGCTATATGAGATATACTAGTCAAGATTAAAAGCTAATCCAATTCAAACATCAGTACTGTCTTTTATAAAAAAAGATTTTTCTCACTCATCTAAAAATTTCTTCCAAACTTTTTCATTATAGACATCACCAAATATGCCCTCTTCAACTTGTCGTTTAAATAGCAAACCTATTGATTTTTCATTCGATTCATCTGTTAATATCAATGCAAGTCTTGTGCTAATAGATTGGTAAGGGTAAATTGCTAAAGGCTAATATAAATATTAGTTTTACATTAATTTTTGATTAATAAAAAGCTTTGTAGTAAAGTAACTTAACTTTATATTTAAGTTTTCCTTCTAATTTTCTAATAGTCTTCGTTAAAATTTTTTCACATTTAAGACATTTTGTATGTTCTATAGTTTTTAAAAGCAAATCTATCAGCAAATAGGGAGAATGATTATGTAAACATACAGTATATTTGAGAATAGAATTGGGTTGCGCAATTATTTTTTTGGTATTATGTTGGCTTTTTGGAGAATTTTGAAATTGAGATATGTTTAAAAATGTTAATACATGACTAAAAAAGATAATTAAAGTCATAATTCCAGTTTTGGTAATCATAAATAACTATTGAAATAAGAATACTCAAGAATAATCTGTAGTTTTCTTTCAAATATAGAGGATTGTATAAAAATTATACTGGATTATATGATGGTTCTGAAAAAGTATCATAATTAATATTTAGTAATGATAATAGTGACATTTTTATATCATCTCCATCAGTTTCTTTGTCAATATTGATTTCTTAATTAATATCTTCTTCAATGTCTCAATTAATATCACATTTGCTTTGACCAGAATTATTATTGTTGCTTTGACTTGAATCACCATCTTCATTTTGACTTAAATTATTATTTTTATTTGACTTAAATTATTGTCTTCATTTTGACTTGAATTACTATCATGTTCACTTTGAGTAAATTATTTGTAGGCAAATTATCTAGTTGTACTAAAGGCAATCTTTTTGATTTACAAGATGAACTATTTGCTGCCAGCTATTTATTTATATAAATATATATATTAAACTGAAAAGTTTTTATTAAAATTTAAAGACAGTAAGTACTTGTAATTACCTTAATACTTTCTTGAAACACTATGATATTTTTTATAATACCCATATACAAAGATGATTTTTCTGTATTTATGCTATTTTTTAAATTTATTTTCTTGTACATTGTCAGAATAATCTAGTTCACTTTCATTATCAAAATAATTCATTTTATTTTCTTCAATCTCATATTTATTATTTAAACCTAAATAATCATTTCACGAATTGAAAGTTTGATTTGTTGCTGAAATAAGCTGACACTAGTTAGATAACAAATATATTGGGATAGAAAATGTATGATGAGTATTTTGCTTTTGGTGTTGCCGTCAAGTTCTCCATGATAAAAGTTTGCTACCTATCGGGTGACATTTTGGACAAAGACAATTGGGCATTGTAAAAAATGAAGATAATGTAGATTTAATTAATATCCATCTACTAAAAGTCCACCAAATGCTTGCTTTTATAATCTTTGCACTTGTTATATTTATTTACGGGGTTTTAATTTATTCACTAAATTTTCATATTATCAACCTCTCTATTTGTACACCACACTTTACAATGTACGATGCTAATATTTATTTATTTAGAAAATAAAGTTTGTTCGAGAAATAAAGGTTTGTTTATGAAATACAATTTGGTCCAAGAGATACAAGCTTGTTCAAGAAAATACAAGTTTGTTCAAGAAATAAAATAAAGTTCAATCACGCACTGATTGAACATTCTATTTATTTATTTTTTTCACTACTAAATTGTCAAAATAGACTCTAAATTACTCATTTTGTCTGTCATCATGACCTCTGCACCTCTAAACCTGTACCACATGACATATTTCTTAAGGTTTTTTATTAGTTTTTTGAATGTTTTCTATTTGTTTTTTAGAAAAATTCTATGCGTATTTCTATTTTGATTTAAAGATAAATACAAAGGTTTTCTAATGGTATATCAGTAGTTTTATTAATTATAAATATGTCTGAAAAACTTTTGGAATAACTTACGATTCTTTACAAAAATCTTCTAATATAATACATTTGAAAAAGTTCGATAGTTCTACCTGTGCGTAGAAATCTTAAATGGTCTGAGGACTTTAGAATTTAAACCATTGATATTACTCAGAATAGAAGAATTTTTACATAAGTAGCGTGCCAATGCAACATAACAGTTGTTAATTGATTCAACTTTAAATAATTTGCTATCAATTTTTGTGTCATGCAATAAACAAACTTAAAAATTCATCGAGTTCAACTTTATTGTCAATTTGATCATTCGTTTTATTATTGCGTTTTTCAAATTACTGTGATCAGTGATTTTCATACATCACACATCATGGGAAATCTGGGAATCGAAAATCTATTAAAACGCAAACATGTAATTGGTTAAAAATTATACTAGCCAAATGCTTTGCGTATATTATGTATAAAAATCCTAATATTAAATATTTTTAAAAGTTTAATTGAAGATTTCTCAACAATAACCCGGTTAATTTCAATGTAGAAGATTATTTTCGAATCCTACTCATCTGTAGAATTTGAAAATAGTAGATATGGTACACTAATGGATAATACACCAGAGAACCTGGAATTCTGGCTTTTTGAATGGGAATTTTAAAAAAATGATAAATTTAAGGGAATTTACAGATTTCCGTGTGATGGACAATAATCTGATGATCACAGTAATTTGAAAAGCGCAGTAATATTATTTGCTTGACGATATGATGGAGCCATTTAGTAGTGTTTTTTTCAGTATTAGCTACATAAGATAAATTTTTTATATGTTCAGCTTCTTCGTGTAAATTTCTAGTAGTCATTTTTTAGGATCCAAATAAGAAAAAGATTGAAAAAAAAACAAAAGATAAATAGCCTAAATATCAAAAAAAATTTATTTGACGTTCAGAAACTGTTACATAGGACCCCAAACGATAAAATAGTTATCATGCACGAAATGTATGATAACTATAAATAATAGTCCGGGCTCAAAAGATTGCTTCAGGGCAAAATTCGACTTGCTTTAAACGTTCAATAAATTTATAAATGATTGCAAGAAACAATAATAATTTAAAGCACAAAGATTGGGAATCCCTAAAGTAACCATGTGGTGAAATTCTTTAATGAAAAAAGCTATTTTAGGGAAATTCTCCTAAAATTAAAATTTGCTATTTAAGTTACTTCCATAAATAATAATCTGTTGCTTGAGCATATTATTAATAATTTTATTTAGGCAAAATAGGCTTGGCGTAATTTTGCAGCAAAGTTAAGGAGAAATTTACGTCGAAAAGCCAAAAAGACTTTATAGGAAAACGGAAGGAATCTAATTATTAAAGTCTAGAAGTGTTAGTTTTTTAAACGTATTTTATTTAAATATCCTTATAATCCTTAATAAGTAGCAAATGTCAACTAAATACGGTAAAAGGTTACCATGCGTATGCGAAATGGTATAAATAAACATCACGCAATGCAATAAATATGTACATATCAATAAATTTGTACTGTAAGTTTAGATGTAACACATTCTTTTGTTGCGTTAAAAATGTCAATTGCAAAACGACCAGAAAAAATTGAAAATCAATTAAGTATTGTTAAAATATCCAACGAAGTTAATCAACTGTATTTAGAAGATGTGTCACAGGATTTTCTTAATGAAATTATTAAAGAAATGTATAATCTGTATAATAAAGAAAGATTGCATAACAAAGATTACCTTTTAATTCATGACGCTTTAGAACAATTTCTAGTAGAAAAAAAGCAAAATCCAGACAATATTATCAAATATTGTTTAAATAA